AAACAACATCCGTCTGGCGGGCGATGGCGATGGCGGCGTGGCACAGCGCTCGCTCGGCGCGGCTACACTGGCCGCGACCAATCCGACACGTGTCGCGCGCACACGTACTAACGGGCGCGGGCTTCGTAAGGCTTCATCATACCTACCGGAAATCGTTAGCCCAAGAGAAAATTATGCACACACAATCCTACTGATAACTACAATGTAGCTGCGTCATTTAACATAATAGTTTACCTACATTTAAAATACTGCCTCAACGACAAGCAATAGCATATTTTACTGAGAAACAGTGTAGCAACTTTATCGATCTCCAGCATTTATGATAGAGCAGCATCGAATTTCACTTCCAATGCTGAAATTATATTCAACGTCCCGTTAATAATATCCATTAGTCTATGGCGCCCTTAGAACCAAAGCCAATGCAGCGGTTAGGACCTAAATGGCCACTTCTACACGGAGATAAGATACATACCAACAGGACGAAGCTTTCTCCATGTCTAAACAAATTCTACATATGTGCGTTATCTTATCTTGTTTTAGATTTTAACTCGACATGCTATGTTCGATAGATTATCCTATAATGTCTGAGTGTCAAATGGATAATTGTTAGAATGAGGGTACGGTGGGCATGTTGTTAATTGTTATTCAGTGTGCAGACGTGACCGTCGCGTCTTCGCCGCGCGACCGCTCCGGAGGTCGTTGCTCGACCCCTCTGTCACAGATAGGCTTGTTTATTTCGATATTGTACTCTTGTCTCTTTAGTGACATTCGGCGTAGGTCTTGCGATACGATATCTAAAAAATGTTATTCTTCAGGGCTGCGAGCAAAAAATCTTCAATCTTTAAAATATTTTGCTGTATATCATTATTCTTTAATTTAAACGTAATTAGAAAACCTTGATCTGGTTTTTGCTCAAAACTGAAATAAAAGTTTTTCAAACATTTCTTTCCTTAGCCAACTTTTAATGAGTTTTAGATTTATTTGGTTTCTTACTGAATGTTTTCGGAGACTTATCGATCATCAAAAGTTATCAACTTTCAATTAAAATCGCTTAGTTATCGTCATTCCTTTTGTTATTGCGGTTAAATTTTTATTTACTATGATTATATTATGATGAGTAAGATGTATGGTTTGATATCGTATTAGGGTTTATTGTAAGGTAGGGCGATGCGCATTGGCACGTCCAGTTGTATCTTATCAGTGGCCTAGTGACTGCAACGCACGCCGGCCTGCCCTATACTTTGCTCATTCACAGCCCGCTCACTATCAATACATTATCGAGACTATTATTAGATGTTCCGTTATAAAATGATTCAGCGACGAACTGCGCATTACGTGATTGACACATTTACACTTACACTTTTTTGTTTTAAATCAAATTAAGGAAACAATAAAGAGTTTAGGGAGACATTAAATGGATCAACCTAATCGGAGATGTACCGATATGTAAAGGAGTATCTGAGAATCAGAAATAATAATGAAGCGATTGTTATTTCCTTTTATTAAACACGAAAAGACTATTTACTGGAAATAGATTGTGTTTGTTCACATTTGATTGAGTTGATTATATTCTCTTATTTAGATAAATCGTTTGGTCTTCGAGTACATTTATCAATTCGAATATTATTTTCCTCAATCTGTCCCGCATCTTGGTAATTCGTCGAATAGCTTGTTGATTAAACGAGTGATATTTGACGGCAAAATGTTGCGGACTAATTCGAGATTTATGTTTTTATTACGCGCTATTGAACGCTTATTTGTAGATGAAATTAGTGGTATTCACATTTTCATAGAATATAAAATCTTTTAGATATTAAAAAAGGAAACACTGAACTTACTTTCACAAAATAAATTGTTCTACGTACCGAATTTTTTCATACATTTGTTAAACTTTCGTAACTTAAAAACTAAATCTTGTTGATTCGTATTTTTATTAATTTAAATAATCAGACTTGTTCCTTAATTATGTACACACGGAAAAAACTTGCCATTATTATTTTCATGCAAAATTTTCGATCGACCAGATGAAGCGGACGTATCGAAAAAAGCAATTATTAATAGTTTGCGACCTTGCTATTTACAGACGGGCTTCCTTTCTCAAATTATTACCCCGTTGACCTTCTCCAAGTACCCAGCCGCTACCACTGGTGGCCGGCTAAAACGCATGACAACGAAACTGAATGTAGTATCGATTCTGCCACTCGGAAGCGATTACTGAGTTATTTTTAAATGTCGTCGGTATAATTTATCCATTAAAGCTCTACGGGCTTTTAGAAGACGTGATACGGAGTAGATGGAGGGCGGTAGCGGGCTCGCTAGTATCGCCCGCTTCCACAATGAATAGATCCTACGAGCGGCTCGCATTGGCCCCGATCCAGGAATAAGGCCATCCACAGTTCAAGTGTACGCCATTTCCGGTGTAAATGTACGTACTGTATATAGTTTTACGCCCGGTTGGCGCCACAATTGAGTGTCTGCCTGTTGTAAGACGTTTTTTTCAACTATTCTCATGCGAGTTTATTTTTAGCGTTTAATCTGCGTATTGTTGTTTAAATTTTATTAACGCATTGTGTTAATGTAATTACAACACATCGAAAAGTATTCCTAAAAAAACACATAATCCATCTTATGTCGTTTTTAGTCTGAAAGTATGAGATTTTCCAAAGAAGCGTGGGCATAACGACCGCCCCTGGGCGCCGTGGGCGTGGGCGTGCGGAGCCTGCGCCGAGAGCTGCCCTCAATCGACGCTCAGACGGCGCACAAACTGAGACAAAGACACGTCTACTGGCGAAAGTATACGACGTTTTAATACTGACAATAGTTCGTATACACTCGTATTGAGTGTTAAAGTAAACCGTCGCGCTGTGATTGAAAACGTTCATTTGTGAATTGATTTTTATATCAGGAGCCATTTTAGGTCATCCACCGAGTCTCGTAATGATCGAAGCCTGAACCTAATGAGTGAGTTGGTTATATTTTCCAGTTATCAGCGATTTATTTTCGATTACAGCTGACATTTTACGTCGCGGCGCCGACCGATGACATTTACTCGATTCTCGTTTCTACGATGACGTGTGTTAGGTATTCATTAATGGTAGTACATAGGTATGTTAAGTGTATGTAGCAGATAAATAGGAGCAACAATGTGGCTATGCAGCGTACGGTTGAAGGACGTGACGGGATTTACTGTGAGAGCGTTGTGAGATGGTTGACGTGTTTCTTGTCTGCAACGTCACTACGTCTATTATAACATCTGATGGCTTGTCTATAAACTGAATATTTGGCGAAACAAAGGATTATATTTAGTTCATACGTAATCTGAGATCCGGTATAATAAATGGTATACACAATGAATGGGAGCAGCTGAATGATAAAGCAACTTCAGGTTATGTCTGAATAATCATTGGTACCCATTGCCGAAACATTCACGTAAAGCATGTTACCTGATACTAGCACAAGTTTAGGGCAAATTATTATTCAAGTCATTCAAAAGTTAAAATGTTAAATTTGATACTATCTTATCTTACTAATATTATAAATGCGAAAGTTTAGATGTATGGATGAATGGATGGAATGGATGAATGGATGTTTGTTAGAGTTTCTAGCCCAAACGACTGAACAGATCTCGATGAAATTTGGTATAGATGTAGTGGATAGTTTGGAAGAAAACATAGGCTACTGAATTTTGATTTTTAAATTCCACGCGGACGGAGTCGCGGGCGAAAGCTAGTAATAGATTAAGAGTAATCTTAGATTCCATTCTAATATTATGAAAAAACATGACGACATTGATATTTGAATAGCTCGCACATAACCATAGGTTGACTATGTAGCCTAGGACTTCCCAGGTAATCTAAGAGTGTGAATTCCACTAGATTCCACAATTCCACAATCTTTAAACTTAATTATTTCCGGATAAAGTAATTTTGACAAGTTTTCCTGCACGGTGCGGCGTGACACCAATATTAAGTTCTAGGCAAGTTTAAGTTTTAATGACTTAGTTTTGAGAGAAAAAAAGAAATGCCTCAATTGAATAAACACCCTGATTAATTAACATCTTGTAAGCGTAGGTTTAGTATGTGGGCGAGGATGACAGGATCGTACGTAATACGAGTATAACGGTTATCACTAAGCTATTTCTGTGGGCGTGTTACTTTTATCAAATTTGCTTGTGAGTTTAAGGATTATGTATCGTGATTACAAGATCCATTACAGACAAGTTAGGATAAATTGAAATTTTATGAAACAATGCGTTTCTTTAATATGTTGATATTTTTTAAATAATACGTTATTTGCGCGATATATGTTACCGAAACATTATGAACTAAGTTAATTCATAATCTGTCTAGGTAATTATAAACACTGCCTAAATGTGAACTGAAGAAGCTAAATATTCTTGTGTAAATTTAAAAACTATTGAAATGAAATCAGATTTCTCTTTCAATGTTATGATGGCGCGTGTAAGGGCTTAGTTTACAATTTGCCTATGTGATGTGCTATATGGCTTCAGCCATGATTTATTCTTTAGTATGTAAGGTAATAAAACATTAGTTATGTGTAAAAATCCTGAAGTGGTATACCGACATGAATCCGAGATCCTTGACCTTTTCGGAGATGGCGACTTGACATTGTAAGGTGCAAGTTAAAGAACATAATACTAATCTTGATGATGTTTTTGACCTATCGTCGAAAACAAAATCCTGAATTTCACGTAGGTTCCTTCACGTTAGATACCAAAAAGTGGAGCTAAACGATAATCACTAAATTGTAACAATACTTTTGTGAAAATAGAAAAACGAATTGTTTTGGTTTTACCAATTCACTCTACTTATAATGGTACAAAAGTTATACTGCCTCGTACTTCTTAACTAAAAATAAACGCTTTGGAAGATGTAGAGTTTCTGTAACGTTTTAAAAACAGACGTAGAAAAAAAAATGTTTGGCCTTCAAAAGCTATTGTTAGGATCTGGATTATGCAGACGTGACCTACAGACATATACATGTCGGAGTACCGAGCGGCGGAGGTGTAAGCTCCGAAGGCGGATTATTTACTTGATTGGTATCGTCTTGCATTATGGGCGTGTGTTTGGGAGATTCTTGAAAGTATAACCGCAAAACAACCAGTGACACTGTTTTATTACAAATTAGTACACATCACAATATAATCAGATCACTAAAACTTATGAAAAACACGAGCCAATGGATTTGTAAGCGCACACAGCTCGATCATCACCTGACATTCCAACCGTCAAATAGATCGTTGCTCTGACGCGTACGAACCCATTCGGGGTTGCCCGCTCATGAATTAAAATTAACCATTCTTCATTTAACTAATTTTACATATTGGCAACACTTTAAAAATAACTATTCAATTGAAATATTAATCGATTTAAGTAACAATAATTGCGCGCCGTTACGGCCGTCCTGCAACATCGCACGTCCTCGTGCGTCTATTACTCCTCCTCATCTGTAAACAACAAAGTTTTCATTCGTCAAAGTGTTAACGCCATTAACACTCGGTCATTCTGACACACTAAAACAACTTCTACTAAACAGTTGTCTAGCAACAGATATTATTCAAATTAGTATTATTATAATTCACACACAGATTTAAAGTTAAACAATACTACTAATTTGCGTTTTGCTAGTTAACAACAGACAGATATATAGTGAATTGACTGGTGTCACTCAAACGAATACCACATCAGTAGGTATCAAGCATATCATTACCACTCAAACGAATTACACACTAGACAATTTCACATAGATCACACAGCCACACACAGATGAATGTCACCATGGCGTATGCAGTACAGGTCAACGCCACTCACTCTATTCCCACACTATAGAGTAACACACAAGCGATAGATGAGCCTATGTCACACAGTCAAATACCACACAGATCGATGCCACACAGGCCGATGCTACTCAGCCTGATGCCACACAGGCCGATGCCTCACAGGCCGATGCCACACAGGCCGATGCCACACAGGCTGATGCCACACAGGCTGATGCCACACAGGCTGATACCACACAGGTTAATGCCACACAGGCCAATCACTAAGAAATTTAAGACTGTAACTTACCAGCGCCGTTAGCGGTGCATCCTGACTCAACTGATTCTATTGGTTCATCTAGTGCAAGATTCAACTCCAAAGGAACGTAGCATTCAGGAATAGATTTTAAGCGGTCATGGGCATATTTGTATGTCCGATTGGAATCCAATGCTTTGAGTAGATACCTGTCACCATCAAGTAACTCTACAACCCTGTATGGTCCCTTAAATTTGGGTTCTAACTTTGTCTTATTTCGTTCTTGATTTTCTAACAAAACATAGTCACCTACATTAAAGTTTTTTACTTTTGCTTTATTTTTGTCAAACCTAGATTTTTCCATTGAAGCACTTGCTTCAATTGATTGCGCCGCTTGTTCTCTTATAGTTTCTAAATCAACGTCAGTCTCATTTGTATCGCATGTCATTAACTGTAAGGGTCTAGCTACTTTTCCAATAAGTAATTCAAGGGGACTCGCTTTTGTGGTTCGATTTGTTGTGCAATTCAAGGCTAACTGCACTTCGGGTAATGCCGTTTGCCAAGATTTATTGTTATCCAACTCCACCGTGGTTAAAATATTTTTTAATGTAGACATTACACGTTCTACCTGACCATTAGCGCGACTAGAACCTGTAGCTATTAAATGTAGGTTAATATTGTGCGCGGCACAAAACTCTTTAAAGTCGTTACTGGCAAAACAACGTCCCTGATCCGCTATTACACGTATTGGAGCTCCAAATAATGATACTCCTGCTTTTAAAGCTCTTATGGCATTGGTAGAGTCAATGTTAACAGTATGATGTAAAAGTACATACTTTGTGAAAGCATCAACTGATACAAAGATGTATTCTTTTGCATCTCGCTTGCCGCTTAATTTGCCTGTCGCGTCCATGTGTATAGTATGCCATGGTACTGTGACTTTAGGGATTGGGTGAAGTTCAGCTTGAATTTTTCCTGAATGACATTTGGCCATTT